TTAATATATATTAGTATAATCTCTTAATTATTAAATATCTCTTTTATTTATAAAGAGCGATAAGAGTAATAATAATAAAGGAATTTAAGAGATAATAGATATAATAATAATTATAGCTATATTTATAAGCTAAAAATCTTATATTATTATATATCGATTTATTAATTTAATAATCTAAAGAGTTATATAAGTAAAGATTATAGAAAGTAAATATTATTAATATACTTTTTATACTTTTTATACTATTTAAAAAGTATTATAAAGTATTTTTCGAGATATTTATTATATATAAAGTTAATCTAGTTAAGCGACTTTAATCTTACTTAATTATTATCTTAATCGATATATATACTATATTATTACGATAATATATAATTTATTATTATAATACGAGTAAAGATCTATAAATTAAATTCATAATCATTTTTTTAATTAGAGCTATCGAGTAAATTTTAGTAAGCGATCTTTAATAAGCGATATCTGAAATTCTTATCTTTAAATATCTATAAGACTTAATATAGTAATTCTTTTTTTCTCTAGAAGCCCATATCTCGTTCTATAATTTAAAAAAAAATCTTAAAATTTTAATAGAAAATTAAAAAGTTATTCTAAAACTAAATAATACGTATCTATTTTTTAATTAAGGCTATTCGACTATCGAGCGAACTTTGATAAGCGAACTTTAATAAGCGATATTTGAATTTCTTGCGCTTTAATAATTAAAAGACTAAATTTAGAAATTCTTTTTTTATCTAAAAGCCCACATTTTATTCTATAATTTTAAAAAAAAATCTTAAAATTTTAATAGAAAATAGTAAAGTTATTAAAGAGTTAAAAGTAGAGTAAGATATTTTTAATAGTTACGAACGCTAATTTATTTACTTACGATAACTTAGTTAATCTAATTAAAGAGCGTAGTAACTTTAAATTTATAATTAACTATATATATAAATTTAAGATTTTTAAGCTTAGCTCTATCTTATTCTTTTATATATATTAATTATAATAAAAAGAAATAAAGATAAGATAATAAATATAAAGAAAGATTTAATATTTATTAATAATATTATTAATAATAATAAATAAGATTTTTATACTTATTAGCGCGACTTTTAAGATTATAATAATAAGATTATTATAATTATAAAGTAATACTAGTAATAATAGCGCTTAATAATAGCGATAATAGCGTATCGTAATAAGATAATTATATATCTATATTCTATTAATTAAGATAATAATATATATAGTTATATTATCGCGATTTAATATATTAATATAATAATATATTTAAAAAGACTTTAAAATAAGTAATTTAAATATACTATTATTATTATATATATTAATTTAAACTATATTTAAGCTAATAATAAATAATATATAAGAAATTAATAGATTTATAAGTATTTATTTATAAAATATAATAATAATAAGATTTAGAGATTAAATCTTCTAAAGAAAAAAGTAATTATAAGAATAAAAGTATTTAAAGTTTATTAATAGATCTCGCTTATATTATTTATTAGATTATAAGTTATATAGTTAAAGCGAATATCTAATATACTTAATAGAAGTCTTAAATACTTATAAATTTTCTTTTTCTTCTTTTTTCTTTAATTATTAATTTATCTAATAACTAATTTATTTATTCTATTAACTATATATCTAGATCTCGTAATTATATAGCTACTACGTAGTTTTATTAAAAGAGATCTTACTATCTTATAATTATATTATAGTCTTATTTCTATTACTCTTACTCGACATATTACTAAAAAGACTTATTTTTATTAAAAAGTATATTAATATAAATAGTAGTTAAGTTCTACTAAGAAGTAAGCTTTAAAATTATAAATTCTATAAATAGTAGAGTAAAATTAATCTTTAAGAGTTATTTCTATTAAATATATAGTTAAAAAAATATTAATAGAAAAAAATAATTATAAAAAATTAAGTATAAATTAAGTAATAAGCTTTTTAAGATATTATTTAGATCTATAGAGTTAATTTAATTAATTATTAAATAAAGAATATATTATAATTTATAATTTAGCGAAGTTATTATAATAATTTTAATTTATAGAGTTAGTAATATAGAAGTATAATATTTAGATAATTAATATAATTAATATAAATAAAAAAGAAAATACTCTTAGTTCTAATATTAAAATAAAAGTTATATATTCTAAGTATAATATATATATATATATATAAAGCTTAGAATAAAAGTAGAGAATAGATATCTTTTATTAAGTATATTTCCGCTAATAAAAGACTTTTTATATTATTTATTATCTTTAAAAATAAAGCTATATAAATTATATAAATAAAAATAATTAAATAAATAACGTGTTAGATCTAGAGTAATTTATAAGATATATATAAATTATATCTTTTTATATATAGAGCTTTTAACTTACTTCTTATAAGTTCTTTAAATTATAAACTCGATAAATTATTAAAAGATAATATCGTTTTCTTATATTTAATAGATATATATTATATATTAATATTAAGATTATTAAATTCTATATTAATAATAATATTATTCTCTTATATCTATTTACTTATATTATATATATTCTTTAATTATTAAATATTAAATATTTTAGATTTTTAATAATTATATATTATAAATATTTAAAAAAGAATATAAAGTTTAAAGATAGCTATATAATAAATAAAATAGATTTTATTTAATTAATTTAAATAATAAGAAAGAATATCGTAATAAAATAGAATATTAAATATATATAATAAAAGAGTAGGTTATTTTTTAATTAAATTATAAATTATTCTTAATAAATTAAAACTTAAAATATTAGAATTATTATCGAGTATATTTATAGATATTATAATCGTAATATTTAATAATAGCTTCGTTTTTATACTCTATATTTTAATAAATATAAAATTAATTAATTAGCTAAATTAATAAATTAAGATTAATAATAATAATTTTATAATATTAAAAAAGCTTAATAAAGTATATAATTTAACTCTAATAAGTAATATCTTATTAAGATAAATTAATAAAAAAAGAATAAAGTTAAATATAAATAAATATATTAAAGCGAAGTATAGATTATAAATCTTAATATTATTTAATAGCGAAAGAATTAATTCGCTATAAAATAGTTTAAATAGTAATTTCGAAATATATATTATCTCGAACTAGCTATTTTTAAAGATATAAAGAGAAATAGAAATCTAATTAAAAAAAGATTACTATATCTTCTATATTAGACTTATTAATATTATTAATACTTACTCTATTATAGTAATTATAATAAGATAAAAGAAAAGATATAAAAAATATATAAGAGAAGATAAAAGAGGTAATAAGAAAGTAATAATAAAAGAAGATATAGTAAAATAAGAGATAGAAGAAGAAGAGATAATAACGATTTTTTTACGAATAGATAGATCGATAAGATCTAAAAAACGATAAATTAGATTTTTCGATATTTTAATATCGTTAATAATAGAAGATTAATATTTTTTATTATTATTATATCTAGTTACTATAGAAGTTTAATGAAAAGTAAGTATTTTAATATTACGTCGGATTTATTAAATTTAAAAAAACTGCATTTCCTAGTAAAATGCGTTTCCTAGTGATAACAGGTATGTAGCAACAAAAGTCAGGCAGGTACTGCGGGGTATGCGTTAATAAAGCGGCAACCTCTGAGCGAGCCAAAGCTCGCCACCACACACAACTGCCACAAACTCTGGTGGCCAACGCGTTTGCAACGGCACAGAGCACCCACCATGCCCTTCGCCCAGCTGATCATCGGCCCCCCCGGCTCCGGCAAGTCCACCTACTGCGACGGCATGCAGCAATTCCTCTCCGCCATCGGCCGCAAATGCTCCGTCGTGAACCTCGACCCGGCCAACGATCGCACGTCCTACCCCTGCGCGCTCGACGTGCGGGACCTGGTCACGCTTGAAGAGGTCATGGCGGAGGAAGAGCTGGGGCCGAACGGGGGAGTGCTTTATGCGCTTGAGGAGCTCGAGCATAACGGAGATTGGTTGGACGAGGGCTTGAGGGGCCTTGGGGAGGATTATGTGCTGTTTGATTGTCCGGGCCAGGTGGAGCTCTTTACGCATCATTCGAGTTTGAGGAATCTTTTTTTTAGGATACAGAAGCTTGGGTATAGAGTCCGCTTTTCCCTGCAGCCTTTCTAGAGTGTCGATGCTCGAGCAGATGAAGCTGATGTGTTGGGGTGGCTTAGCTAGTAGCACTGCATCTGACTGATTCATACTGTCTCACACTGCCTTCGCTATATATCTCGACGCTCCTGCTTTCTCTGAGAGCCATGCTCCAGATGGACCTTCCACACCTTAACGTCATGACAAAAATCGACAAGCTCGCGAGCTATGGACCTCTTCCGTTTAACCTGGACTTCTACACAGAAGTCCAAGACCTCTCATACCTGCTCCCTCACCTAGCGAACGAGAACCCAGTGATGCGGCATCCTAAGTTCGAAGGTCTCAACAACGCAGTCGTCGAATTAGTGGAAGATTTCGGACTCGTAGGCTTCGAGACCTTGGCGGTCGAGGATAAGAAGAGCATGATGACGCTGCTGCAGGCCATTGATCGAGCTGGAGGATATGCATTTGGTGGTGCTGAAGGAGCGAACGATACGGTGTGGCAGGTTGCCATGAGGGAGGGGATGACTGGGATGACGATCCATGATGTGCAAGAGCGGTGGATTGATCGAAAGGAAGAATTTGATGAGTTGGAGGCGAAAGAGCGGGAGGAAGAGGCTAGGGCCCAGGAGACGCCGCCGTTGACTGAGGACGGTGGAGAGGAGGATAGTGATGTTGAAGAGATGGGTCCTGTCCCTGACAGCGGCGTGAAGGTGCTGCGGCGATCATGATGCTCAGTGTTGGTCTTTGCATAGCGATAGGCGTTGGTCCCCGAAAACAGCGTTTGATCATTTGGGTGTGCATGTCCCGAAGAAATCTCGGTTCCAGTCTGTTCTCTCGCAACTCGTTCAGCTTTCTCCGTCGGATCCCATTCCCATCTCATCATCCTCGTCTGAAACATCTGATCCAGCCGTCATATTTTTCCCACCCTGCAACACCTCTTCGTCATCTTTCCCCAGTATCCCCAAGAGCCCATCCGTACTCCCCTCACCGCTCTCCCTCTTCGCCCGCAGTATCGCAGCTCTAGCCCTCCTGATAGCTTCCTCCTCAGCCTTCTTGATCGTACCAGACACCCTGACCACCTGTATGGCGCAGGCTCTCGGTTGCCCCTGTTTAGACGTCTTTGTTAGCTGTGTCATGAAGGACAGAGCGGCCCACACGAGTCGGTAGTGTGCGCGAGAGCAGCGGACTATGGCGGTGGAGGTTGCGGGGGAGAGGTATTTGACTGGATTCAGCGTCAATAAAGGGTCCATCAATTGAGGGGGGTGGAATTTACCGTTTAGACTGCTAGATACGAGACCGAGCCCATAGTCTCCGTATAATAATAGGACCTGGTCTCTGATTGTCCGCGCGAGGAGCTGGGGTGTCAGGTCGTTGGGGCTTGGCCTGTGGAATTGGACGAGGTCTGGGAGTGCTTTTTCTGGGGATTTGGAGGGAATCTTTCCTTTCGGTGGATCTGCTGGGTCTGGGTAGAGAATATGGACGAGAAGGTAACGGTGTTTTATGCGGACCATGACTGGTAGGAGATTGAGATTTGAAAACCGTATGAGGCCTCGGGAGTCATGTGCTAGATTTGAGCGCCGGGTAGCCATGGCGGAAATTCTCGAAAATTGTAGGGTATTTGACTAGATTCATAACGCTATTGCTGCTGCTGCTCTCCCTCTCGTTGTCTCTCAGCCTGCTCTCCATCCTTCCTTGCCTTTATCAACCCCAGACCCACAAGATTTGCAAAATCCAAACCCACCTCACCAACCATTCCCGCATTCTCGATAGCCTTCCCCAAGCAATCGTTCCAATACGCGCAGCCAGCCCTCACACTGCCCAATTGCCTCTCTAGTAGCGCGTTAAACTCGTCCAACCTCTCCTTTGCCCACTGAACACAGCTGCTCATCATGACTGGCGGAAAACACAGCTGATAGGTTTTCACGGTGTTACGGATCAAAGAGAAGTAGACATAGGAGAGCTGGTTGATGTGCCGAGGTAAATCGCCTTCAAACATGATGCTGCGAGCGCGGATGTGGATGAGATCAGTGCGGGCAGCGAGATAGGTGGTGCGAGCAAGGGGGGTGAAGTTGAGACGGACGAGATAGGCGATGTTGGCTTGGGTTGCCGTCAACTGCGCGTGAGTGGCTGTGAGGCGGAGGGCAAGGATGTCTGTATCATATCAGTCTTCGTTTGTGGGATAAAGAACCCAAAAGTACTGACCTGCAAGCTTCCTAGCCCTTTCATCAACCTTGGTGCTGATAAGGTCTTGGGCTAACATGTTGCCCTTGAGACCTTTGGCTAGTTTCCTAAGTTTCTCAACATGCCGAACAGCGTCTTCGAATTTTTGCAAAGCCACCTCGCTGTCAAGCTCGTCGATCTGACCCTCGACCCACCGAAGGTTTTGGTGCTTTCCGTCCACATCGATTAGGATTTCGGGACGGTCTTTGGCGCCACTGAGTGATCTCAGCAGGTTTGTTTTGTTGGACAGGGCTGGGTCTCTGGTGGTCAGATAGTCTATAGTCTCCTTGCTCTTGTTGACGTTTTCTTCCATATCTGCTTGCAGGGCCCTCCGCAGCTCATCAACAGTCCTCCGGAAAGCCTGTAAAAGGTTCATCTTCTCCGTAGTCGATGACTTGTCGCTACGATACGTGAAGGACTCGTGGCCGTATCTAATGCTGATTGCGTTGGACATTGCACCTCGGTCGCCAATACCCGACGATCCAACAGATGCAAGGTCGACCATATCGATATCCTGCAGAGGCCAGCATTTGTCGGCAACTGTCCTTGAAGAGCTTTTTTGCCCGGCATCGCCAGTAGTCATAGCATTGGGATCTATTCGCCGCTTCCTCTTAGTTGCAACCATCAGATGGTCGTTCAGAAGAAAAATATGCGCATAACGCTTTGCTTTCCAAGTAGCAGCATCCAACTCCAGCCAAGTACTCTGCTCCAGAACCACGTGTCTGCCCGGTATAGCGGGCAGGAACTTCTGCGACCCCTCGACATTTTTCCACAGTGCATGCAATTGGGTATTCCACATCGCCTCCAGGTTTGCTACCGAGCTCCTGTTTGCCTGCTTGCGAGCTCTTGACCTTGCACCATCATCCGATACGGCGCGCGGTTCTGATGCTCCAGCATTCATTGAAGCTTGATTGAGAGAGGTCGTAAGCTCGGACATAAGGCCCCGAAGTGTCCGCATCTCCCCTTTAAGCTTTTCCGCCTCTTTAGAGATCTTGATAAACTGTGTTCGGTTTTGGTACACATTCTGCTGTAGATCGGTCGAGGTGCGATTTTTGAGCTTTCGAAGACTTGCTTGATAGTCTCGAAGCTCTTGATCAGAGGCGTCTGATAGCAAATTTGTAGAATAGCTCTCGATCTGCAGGTCAGGGTCCTTCAGGGCATTCGCATCTATTTGAAGCTGCTGATTCTGTCGTGCTGTTGATGGACGAGAGTCAGATTGGGCAAATTGGGCAGGCAGGGTCGGAATGGATGGGACAGGTGGCGCGTCAGCATTGCTGAAGTCTGGAAGATTGGTGAAGCGTGTTGAATATCTTCTCTTGACAAGGTCAGAAGTATTAGCTGTCGAGGTCTCGACTCTGCCGTTCACGTTTGGACGAGTAGGACCCCGGGAGACTTGGGGGATTGTCTGAATTGGACCAGATATCTGCTTCGGCACGGCTTGACGTGACTTCTTCTGGCGTAAGGAAAAGCCTTTCCCCTTGTCCTCCATAGCGCCCGAGCCTGCATCGCAATGCTAGAGGGAGATGCCAAGCGCAAGATGAAGCCTGGGCGAGATGTCGGGAGAATTTAGCGCCGTGTCTTGGCGGTAAAAGACTGCCACTTTCAGAGGAATAAGCACTTCTACTTCTTATATTGACCCTGAATAATTACATATCTGAAAAGCGTATTGAGTACTCAACTTTCTATTATATTGTTGTAGAACGATGAGTTATAAGGGTTCGAATTTTAGAAAGTGTATCAATGCTTCTCTATGACGGTCAAGTGGATCGCGTTCGACTGATCGTGAAAGTCCAAAGCGACTGCACGTCGAATCCTTTTCTTGTCGGCCTGATCATGCTTCCGAAGTGATCACGGCATTGCCCATTCCACTGCTAAAGCTATCTACTCAAGAACATCTTCCATGCCCGACAAAAGGAACGTTACTCTCGCGACCACCCATCCTAATACCCAATAACCATTTAAATTAAGCATGGACTAAGTTGTTGAACAATGAATGAAATAATGATGTTCATGGGACAACTAATAATAATCTACTCTGATTATCGAATAAAAATAAAATAAAGGGTTTACTCTTTAAACTAGTTGGAAGTCTTCGAGCGCTCGATCGCAGCCTTGGTCGCTTCATCAATGTCCTCCTGAGGCAAGTCGAGCAAACTATTAAGCGTGCCCTTGTTGTGCTCGAAGTCACCGCAACCGTCGGGATAGAAGACTCGGGTAATCATCATCTTGGCAAAACCAATGCGCTTGCCTTCCTGCATCTCCTTGATACCGCTGGAGTACCGCTCCTGAGCTGGCTCTTTTGTGATGGTCCAGTCGTTTTCCTTGGTACCAGTCACGCGAAGAGCGGACTCCAACATATCTTTCTGGCTGACGGTGAAGGACTTGACATAGACTACCTTGTTCTTGAAATTCTCAAGGCAGGCTTCTTTGTTCGAGCCTTCGGGCTTAATGGGCAGACTGAGAAGAGCGCCGACAGCACGACCAACCTAGCAAGAGTTAGTCGCTTGTCACAAAAGTGTTTGACAATTGTAGGCGTACCTGTGGCCGCGTTGAGGTAGAGATCTTGGTCTCACCCTCGTCGAAGAGAGTGACGATGCGGTTGGCAAAGTCGATACCAAAGCCCGCAGGAATAGCCAGACCCCACTCATACCAGAAGCCGGTAGATACAGCGATGTAAGAACTCTTGCCAAGATCTGCGATGGCCTTGCGAGTGTCCACTGCAAGCACAACAGTCTGTGGTCAGTGAGTGTCTTATATGGTGCATATACAATGAGATTGCTCACCCTTCGGCTGGAGAAGAAACACGTCTTTGACCATCGCCTCGTTCGCGGTGTCTGGGGACCATTCATTCGGCAGAATCCAGGCCACGCCAGCCTCACCGGCGGCGTTGATAAGCTGCATCTCGGTCTCTTTTGGAACGGAATTACTCAGTGTGATGACCAGCGCATCTTGGCCTCTGAGTGCCTCAACGAGTGTCTCCGGCTTATTGTAATCGACCTTCTTAAAAATCACGCCTTCTGGCAACTTGTTCTGGCTATCGACCCGTGTGATTGCCGTAATGGTGTGCTTGCCAGTCTTGAGCAGAGCTTCAGTCATGAAGCTGCCGCTGTTGCCACCAGCCTACCTTTGTTAGTCGAATATTTGCAGGCGGAGCAGTGGATAGCATGATATCACGCACGCCAACAATGGCAACCTTAATTATGTGGTTTGAGGTTGCCATGGAGAAGACTGGTCGAAGTTGCAGTTATGTGGTTTGAAGATCGACGACAAAACTAGACCAGATACTTTACGTGGTTGGCTTCAGTCTTATTAACGTAAGATTTGCAGACCTGTGCCAATTGCTCTGTTTATCTGTAAAATATGAAGGTATATGTATTCGGTTCCCACTGAGTATGGCGCCAACGTTACTTGGCTTTGCTCGGAGAAGCAAGCCACGTTAATCTCGTTTTTGTCTTGTCTTACCCGTATCTTGTCTTGTTTTGTCTTGAAGGAGAACGTCAGCTCGGCGACGCCAGATAAAGTGATGTAGCACCGACTACTAGTACACAAAACGACGGCAAGTTGAAGCTAGTTATCATTGAATAGCGCTTGCCCCGGGAACATTCTGATTATTGAAGGACAGGTATCTTATCAAACGTAAAAAGTGGGTGTTTTGATATGATACGGGAAGGACATTACGGAGCGAACAAACCAATTCGTAGGGCGGCGCTTACCCGAGACCCAGTCGGGGTAGATTTCTGTCTTCTTGGCGGTGTCGATCTGAGCTTACAAGAAATTTATGGCCGTTCAGAAAGATTGATATCAAACGTCCAGCTTCTCCCTGGTCAGAGAGACTACATGAAAAGAGAGGTCTCTGTGCTATCAATTGCTCTTACTTGTTCAAGACCTCCAGCATGTCTTCCTCTGTCCGGACATCTACGATTGTGATAGCTTCCGCTGGTGCTATCATAACCGGTTTCCTTGGTAAGTGATAGCACATGCTTATTCACATAGCATCTGCGGTAGCTAGTTGCTTTTTTATTTCCCGCCTTTCTCTCTTTACATATTGGCTGATGTTATTTATACACAGCATACGCGGTCTATTTTGATCATAAGCGGCGGTCAGATCCAGATTTTAGGAAAGCCCTTAAGAGAGAGTCGCGAAGGGAAGCACGAGCTGCAAAGGAAGAAGCAGAGGCACAAGGCGTACAGCAGAAGCAGATCATCGAAGATGCTGTGAGCGCGGCCAGAGAAGAGGGGTTTCCTACGGATGTGGAAGACAAGGAGGCATATTTCATGAACGAAGTCGGGC